GAGGAGAGGGGATACATGTTTAGGCATGTCACTCACTTGGGCTGTGGGCTGATGGAGAGGGTGGTGGGGAAACCCTGACCCAGTTAGGGTTAAACATTTCTGTCTTTCTTTCCACGTGGAGACTAGACTGTATTGGCAGAATGGTCTGAGTGGCTTTTTGGTACATGAGTGATATATACTCTTTGAGTCTCCCATGTGCCATGTACATCACATCCCCCTTAAATAGTTTTGGGTACCCCTTTTGTGGTAAGAGAATCACGTGTGGGTGTGGGGGAAGACTCATGTCCTCCCAAGACATTTTTTCCGCCCCAGTCATCCTTAGTATGGAAGGAGTATGAAGGTTGACTTGGTAAGAGGGTAGACCTCTGGCTCCTTTGAACATTCCAGAGCATGGGATCCCTGATTGGAAGGGAGATGGTAGCCAGATCTGTGGTGAGAAGGTAGCTGAAGGAGGAGACTGGACTGAAACCCACCTTCCCTCCTCTGCCCTGGCTGGAGAGGAGGGGTAAGGGCAGAGTGTTATATTGTGTCTCACGATGTCTCAATGTCTTTTGGAATGTCTTTTGTGCTCTTATCCTATCTCTGTGGTATGACCAGTGTTCTCTTCTCCCTAGAGCAGAGAACAGTAGCCCTATGGGGGAGAGTTGGGCTAGGTTGTAACCTATCTTAGGACTCCACCTGCCTTAGAGATGCTGCTGGGCTTACACGCCCTCCCTGTTATGAAGGCCAGCAAGTTAGGGCTTCCTGAAGTACACAGTCACCCCATGGGCACCTCGAGGGCAGTAGGAATCTGGCCCTTAGGCTCAGATGGCTGGGCTGTATCAACTCCCTGTCCCTGGAGGGGACACATGCTCCCCAGCCCCCCTATGAGGGTGGGGGGCTTGAAGGCAAGGCGGCCCGCTCTCTGCCCCCCCATGGTGAGTTGAAGTGTAAATGAATCAAAACATATGGAGCAGATTTTCTTTGAAATGCAGATGTGTTGGGGGGACCATGTGTGCCTGGTTTGGTGGGAGGGGGGGTCCCAGAGAGCTAGGAGGCTGAGAGAGCTGACCCCTCCTCCAGACCCACCATGGGGTGAAGGGAATTGGGGAGACCTCAGCTGGGTAAACTGTGGCCCTGGGTGACCACATCCACCCAGGCTCCAGCTTCCTGTGGGGAGGGGGTGGGGAAGCAAGAGGTCCCTGTGGGCTGAGAGTGCTGAAGTCATTACCCTCCTTTATCTCAGTCTCTAGAGGGCAGAGAGAGCCCCCAGAGCCCAGAGCCGTGCTGGGTTGATGGGGGGGTCACCACGGCCAGGAGCTCTGGGGGCCAAGGGGTGGAAGAGGGAGCTGGGGCAGATGTGAGGCAGAATTAGACCCTGCTGCTTGCAGAACCAAGTCCTGGAAGCTGGGACTACAGCTGCAGTGGAAGGAATGGAAGCCAGACTATGATGGTGACTTCTGGTCAGACTTTAGGAAGGTACTGAGGAGTCCTCAATCCTGTCGGAGTTTTTCCAGACCTGGGAGGGTCAGTATGCCCCACCAGGCAGAACCTATACTTTCTCCTCACAGAAGGCATCAGGGTTACATAGTAATTGCCTGTGAGCTCTGTGGGACGGGGGACTGGGTCTGCTTTGCTCACTGGTGTACGCTGCCCCAGCACCTTCCCCAGTAGGAAGACCATGTGGAGTAAAAAATGCGTCTTTTCCTCTCCCATCCAACTGAGTGCTGCATGTGGGCAGGACCATATTCTCAACTCCCAGCACAGTACCTGACAGGGATTAGGTGCTCAATAAATGTTGAGGAATGATAAATAAATAAAATGTAAAAAAAAAAAAAAGGCAAGGGGGGGATGCCTGGGTAGCTCAGTTGGTTAAGCATCTGCCTTCAGCTCAGGTCAGGATCCCAGGGTCCTGCTTCTCCCTCTCCTTCTGCCCTTCCCCCTCTCCCCTCCTCACCCTCTCCCCCACCTTCCCTCCAAACCCCCCTCCTGCTTGTGCTCTCTATCTCAGATAAGTAAAATCTTTTTTAAAAATGTTGAGGAATGAATCCTTGAGTGAGACAAACCACGGGGAGAGGGGATTCTCTGGATTTTGTGACTTGAGATCCAACACACTCTGTTGTATTACCCCTACTTGGCTCAAAGAAACACTGAATGATTTGCAGTCTACACTAAGGAAGGACTTGCCCGCAGTCAGGGAAGGAGTGTGAAGGATAGGCAGCTTCTTCCTTGAAAAGGTCAGGACTAAGGGAGACTGGGACAGGGTGATGACCCTGATTCTGTGGCAGGGGTTGGAGGTCACTTCTTTCCTCTCCCAGCTTCAGGATTTTTCAGAAGGTGGGAAAGCTCTTTTCTCCTCATGTGATTGAGTGTGTCCCTTGGTCTCTCTAGGTCAGGGTTTCTTGGACTCTAGCCAAGACAATGGACCCCACCTCTGAGCCACTGAGGCTAGGCTCTGAGGTTGTTTAGCTGCTGTAGACACCACAAATTGTATTAGTTATTAATGTTTGTCTGAGAACATGGGGTTCTGATCCTAAAAATACCCTATCCAGCCAGAGCCTAGGAGTTGCTGGTGTGGGCTGGTATAGCAGTAGTGCAGCCAGGTAAGATAGACGCTGGGAGACACTAGAGAGTATGGGGAAACTGAGGCAGCATGGGCAGGAGATGCACAAGAGACAGAGTCTCTGTTTTATTTGGAACAAAGATTTATAAAATTAGTGGTGTCAGTTCTTCAAATTGTGGCAACATGTAGAGTAATCTATTATCTTATGCTGCAGAAAATTTCCTTCTTGGAAAGTTTGAAGATACGTCTGAAATCAGACATAAAAATTAAGTAGTCAGGGGGCACCTGGGTGGCTCAGTGGGTTAAAGCCTCTGCCTTCAGCTCAGGTCATGATCCCGGGGTCCTGGGATCAAGCCCCACATCGGGCTCTCTTCTCGGCAGGGAGCCTGCTTCCTCCTCTCTCTCTCTCTGCCTGCCTCTCTGCCTCCTTGTGATCTCTATCAAATAAATAAACATTAAAAAAAAAAAAATTAAGTAGTCAGTAGTAACCATTTCAAGTCCAGCTTCGGGATGTTCCAAAGTAAGTATGTGGCAAAAAAAAACAAAAATCAAAAACCTTCCCCAAGTAGCCTTTTCTGAGCCACTGCCCCCAACCCTACCTCCTGGAGCCCTTCCCCACAGCCTGAGTCCCAGTGGAGTTCCTGCACACCCCCTTTCATAGGCCCCCCTGACCTCACATCTGACCCTGAGGCCTCTGTGTATCTCCTCTTCCCAGAAGATGGATGTTGCACAGTGGTCCCAATAAAGGTAAGAAGATCCCAGCCTCTGAGGGCAGATGCCGTGTGACCTTGGCTTGTAAGCTGACCTTTCTGGGCCCCTCTGTGAAATCGCAGGATGGGGGGGCTGGGCTCTGGCCCAGGCCCTGAGAGAAGGCGGTTTTGGCACTCATCCAGGTCCCTGACGTCAATGACTCTCCAAATAATGGAATCAATATTGGGGGGGGGCAAGCGTGAACCAGGCCCCAGCGATTAGAAACAGATCAGCACAAACCCGCAGCTGATTCTGATAGAGTTGCCTTGGAGAGCTAGGGTGGGAGGCCTGGAAGGAGGTAGACCTGGTGGGGGGCTCAGGAATGGGGGTTCAAGGGAGCGTTTCAAGGGAGCGCGCGGGTACAGGAAGTGTCCAAAATATGAGGGTGCACAAGTAGGCAGAGATTATGGGGCTGCCTGGGTTGGAATGATGGGATGGGGGCTGCTGAACTAGTCCCTTCCTCCTTTGAGCCTGTGGGGTTCCAAGGCTAGGGAAAGTATGTGAATGAAGACTTTTTTCAACCACCGAGTTATAAAGAGTGGGCAAGGGGAGTTCAAAGCTCATTTCTCTGCTTCCCAGACTTGGGATCCTAGGCCATGTTAGGGGTCTCAGGTTATACCCAGGGTAGGGGAAAGAGCTAAATGAGACCTGAGGGAGATGATCTTTTGCTTGGAGGCAGAGGGCATTAATCCCAAATAGAGAGATGGGTATTCCCTTTCAGATTGGAGCCAGGCCTCCTCCATCAGCCTGTGTCCCCTCAGCCTCCTAGAAGGCAGTAGGTGAGGAGGAGAGGGCCATGGGGGCCCACAGGGGCTGGCCTGGTGGCATCTGACAAAAAACAGGAAGAAGGGCTGGGGGAGCAGCTGTAATTATGGGGCATTTATTATTAATCAGATGAAATTGCTGGAAGCAGCTGGTGTAATGTGCATAGTGATACAGACTCTGCATGCCCCCCAACACGTGCGCACACACACACACAAGCCATGCGCAGTCTGAGCCTTGTTTGCTTACACAATTCTTTTCTTGTGGAGGCTAGAGAGCTTTTTTTTTTTAAGTGATTTCTATATCCAACATGGGGCTCGAACTTACAACCCCAAGATCAAGAGACACATGCTGTACTGACTGAGCCAGCCAGGCACCCCTGGAGGGCTCTTTATGTGTGTCTGTGTCTGTTTATGTTGGTGTGTATCTGTGTTTTTTCATGTCAGCCTGTACCCTCCTGTCCCTCTATTGTCTCCTTTCCCGACTATTTTTTGGCCTGATGAGTGTCTCTGTCTCTAATGTCCTCTCTGTCTCCCTGTCTTGGGACCTGTCTCTTGGTGTGTCTGTATCTATCACCACCAGCCAGCCTGTCTCTGACACCTTATTTTAGTTTGTGGCCATGTCTCTCTGGTTGCATCTTTGTGCCAAATCAGATGATGTGGAGGCCCTTACTCATGGGTGTTTAGGTACCTGATCATGCCTCTGTCAGACACATCTGGGACCTGTTTTTTTGAGGGGAAGAGAGGAGGTTGGACCCTGAGGATCTCTTGGGGTCTTGTAGAAAGTGAGGGCTCTGTTAAGTGACTGGAGCCCATAGAAGCAATAGTGGCTTTCAAGACAGCCCTGGGTACAATACTAGCTCCTTTATCAACTACCAGTTGTATGACTTTGGACAAGGTGCTTTTGTTCTCTGAGCCTCAGTTTCCTCATCTGTAAAATGGAAACAGGATGACCTCCAAAGGTTGCTTTGATGATTCTGTACAAAATGTATGTTAAGTACCTACCATGATATCTGACTCATTACAAACCCTGAACAAGTGTTAGCTGTTACAGTTATTACTGGAAAAGGCACTGTGCAGGCAAGAGAGAACTGCAGAGGTAAATTGGTGTAGCACACAGGCTTCAGAGCTAGGCTCGGACTCAAATCTGTGCTCTGGAACTAATCATCTATGTGGTCTTAGGCAAGTTACTTAACCTCCCTGAATCTCAGTTTTTCAACTGTCAAATGGAGAATAATTATAGACCCCACTTCATGGAGAGGTCATGAGGATTAAATGAGATAATGCATATGAAGTGCTTGACACAGTTCCTGGTACGTAACAGATGCTCAATAAATCATCGTGCTGACGAAGCAGAGGAAGAGGAGAGTATAATGGTGGGTGTTTTTGCCCTGCCAGTGGCCACGTGAGAAAGTGTGTGATGTTCAGGTACTTGTGCCTGTGAATTGGTTGTGTGGGAACTTTGGATTGTCTGGGGGTGTATGAGTATGTAGACATATATGGTGTTAGGCCACTTCTGGCCTTCCTTTTCTCCCTGTGTCTTTGAACCTGAAGTCAGCAAAGGGTGCTCGAGGGAGTCTGGACTATTTCCAACTTTCCTTCTTGGAGACACTTATCTGCTGCCTTCCTCAGTCTCCCCTTCTCTCAGTGAGGTTGTAAGGAATGAGTTCTTTTTTGGACTTAGGCCTGTGGCTCCTCTGTGACCTCTGATTTGTGTCCTTTGCCCTCCTAGAATCCAGCCTTGTCACATCATCCTGCCCCCTTGGTTTTGGAAGTCCTGGAAACAGTCGGTCTGGAGGAGGAGGACATTGATGTGCTCAGTTTGCAGCCAGTGGTGAAGAGGTATGTGCTGGGGACCTAATGAGGCAGGTCCATCTCTGGGCATCAGGCTGGTGCAGTGGAGCTACAGGCTTGGGGATGTGAGTGAAGGAGGGCTCGAGATCCCTTCCTTCTCTTCCTCTGTTCCTCCTCCTGAGGCTTTTCATGCCCTTCTGATAGGTCCATAAAGGGGAAGGGACTTACCTGCAGTCACACAGGCAAGGGCAAAGCCAGGTCTGCAATGAGAGGGCTGAATCCTGGATGTGGGAGTATGTTCTGTCTCATTGTCTGGTTCCCTTTCTACCCCCAAAGCAACTGTCTGGCGTGACTGGGGGAGCAGCTGGGCTTGCAATAGATGGGATGGGGGTCAGAAATTCCAAAATCTTCTGGGGCCAGCCTTGGGGCTGGGCTTGACTCTCCCTGCCTTTCATTAAGGCCAGCCAAGGCCCCCGATTGGCAGCCCTGGGTGGGGGGCGTCCAAGGAATCGAGGCGCTGGAGCGGAACGGAAGGGCCTATTGTCCAAAACCCGCCAGAGGCCCACAAAGGCCAGCCGGCTTTTCATCTCAGCTCCCAAACAGACTGGCCATTTTCCTGGCCCAGGAATGGGGGCCTGACTGACCCTTCAGAACGAGGACTGGGGTGTTGTTGGGTGGGGTGGGGTATCCCAGCCTGACACATGGCCATAAAAGAGACTTAAAATGGAGCTGGGGTTCTGAAGAGGAGGAAGGGAGGCTCCAGAGGGGCTATAGAGAGTTAAGCTTGCAATCTCACTGTTCCCTGAGGACCCAAGGACATAGGGTAGTGTATCTGATAGAAGTTCTGATTTACGCAGCAACAGATAATAAATATTTATAGGGGGCACAACTGGGAGGAGTCTCAAGGCTTGTTAGTAAAGTGAGCTCTGGCTGTGAGGGCAAACAGTCCTCCCCCACAATTGGGAACACCTTATCTACTTGGAAGGGTGCTGGAGAAGAGAAGGCTAGTAGTGGTCAGGCAAGAGGCTGGGCTCCTTGCAGCAGGAGGGACTGAGGCCAGACAGCAGGAAAGTCTTCCTCCCAAAGAACAGTAGCTCTGATGCCCTGACCCGTATCTCTGGGGATCCCAGAGGATCACAGAGAGCCAGGGAGGTAGAGAACACCCCTGGGTGTTAAGGGTTAGACAGCTTCTGTGGGCCCCCCCACCCACCCAGGAGGAGGCTGGGAGGCAAGACTTGGCAGTTCTGTCCACCCTCCCTCTGCAGCACCTCCAGCACCACTTTAAAAACAGCTTTTTAATTTAACAAAGTGGATGAAAAACTGTTTTTGGAAATAAAAGATATCTGCTGTCTCCTAGGCTAGCACTCAGCCCTTGCAGAGAAACTCTCCCCGTTTCTCCCTGCTGCTGGTGGCTCCTTTCCTCTCTCTCTCTCTCTCTTTTTTTTTTTTTTTTTTTTTGTTTCTGCTCCATGGCCTTCCAGTTTCCCCTTAGCTTCCCCCTACCCACCTCCCATATCAGCCTCCCTGGGAGTCTCATCCTCAGTCTCTTATCTCTGTGTCTCTGCATCTCCTTTTGTCCCTCCTCTCCTCCGGGTCTCTCTTCCAGGGCTTGTCTCTCTCCTGAATCGTCTCTGTCTCCTATCCTGTCTCAATCTCTGTCTCCCTCCCCCCCTTCTCCCCCAACCCCTGTTCTAAATGGGTCTATTTAAAACACCCGATGCTGCCAAGTCAGAAAAGCGTCTCCTGATAAAGCACATTAGGCTGGGGGGAGGGAGGGAGAGGGAGGAGAGAGAAGGAGGGAGGAGGGAGCAGGGAGCAGCGGGCAGATGGATTGATCCAAGCCCGTAACCCCATTAATCAGGCATCGTGGATCCCCCCCTCCCTCCTCCAGCTTCAACCCCTTCTGAGCTAAAAGCCCCTTAAATATTTATCACCCCTCCCCCATGGGGTGAGGGGAGGGGTGTGTGGTCCTTGGTGTGAGCATCCCCAGCTGCCTGGTGCTCCCCCCAGTGTGTTTACACATGTGCACATGAGCTTATACGTGCGTGCATGGGTGTGCATACCTAACAGGCCCAGGACCCATCCTGTCTCCCTTCACCCCCACCATAGAGGAACCCTGGAATCTGACCTGGGTCTTGCCCTTCCTGAAGAGTTGGGAATATAGAATATGGAGACCTCTGGGGTCAATTGGGGGTCCTCAGGCCCCCCAAAGTGTAGTAACTGGAAGACTGGGTGGCACAGCACTATCATTCTCACAGGGCAGGAAGGTGAACTGGGGTCCAATGTCCAGATTCCGCCAAATTCCCAGAGCAAGAAGTAACTTGGGGAATAGAATTGGGGACTCCATGCTCCTAAAGTGCACAAAGGTAACTTTGAAGGCTGGCTGAAGTTCTCCCTTTATCCTCAAAGGGTAGGAGTAAGACCTGGAGGTGGATAGAGGACTTTCCATTAACCTCAGAAATTTAGGGACCTGACCTGGGCCATCACCCCCGGAGAGTGGGAAGAGGGCCACTCTCTGGGGTGTTGGGGGACTGGGTCCCACATCTAATGGCATATTGATCCCCCCTGGCTGCAGAGGTCAGTCAGTCCTGCGACAGGAAGGGGTCCGTCGGAGCTGGCCTGAGGCAACTTCGCCCTGGGCGCCGGGAGGGGGTAAAGGGAGGCCCGGGCCGCCCTGGGCGTGAGGAGGGGCCCGGCTCCGAGCCGAGGGCCCCTTCCTCCCTCTCCTCCCCCAGCATCAAGTGCCACATCTCCTCCTGACTCAGACAATTAGATTCAAAGGATGACCTCACTGCCTGCCGTCCCTCACTCGCTCCCTCTGCTAGCTCGCCTCGCTCGCTCGCTCGCTCGCGGCGCGCTCCTTCCTCCCCTCCTCCCGGACCGCTCGCCGCCTCGCTCGCTTGCTCACAGCTCAGCCCGGCCCCTAGCCCGCCTGCCCGGACTCTGGCTGTTGTTGCAGGGGGCTCCTATCGCCCCCAACCAGGCCGGCCCGGGCCTCCTGGGCCCAAGCCCCGATCCCTGGGGGCCCGATGCCCGAGGGCTGCCGGGCGGACCCACGGAGCGCCGGAGGCACCGACTGGGCGCCTGCGCGGGGACCCAGGTCAGTGGCCTCGCGGCCGCGGGGCCAAAGAACTTGTCACCCCCACCTCCGCCGCTGAGACGCCCCCGCCCGCGCCCGCCCACCAGCCCGCCTCGAGCTTCCCGCTCCTTTCTCGGCCCCCGCCCCCCGCGGCTGCTCGGCGCGCTCCCCCTGCCAAGCTGTCTCTCTTCTTTCTCCCCCCCCAACCCCCCCCTGCCTCTGCAGCCAGTGGGAGGGACTGGGACTTCCTGAGGTCCCAGGGATGGGGCCGGGGCCCATTGGCTGCAGTCGGCCCAGGCCTCAGAGAGAGGAGGGGGCTCTGACTGTGTCCATTGGCCTGGGGGAGGGGACCACCACCTGGGTGGGAAGGGAGCTACCGAGAGAGAGGCCCAGGGTGTGGGGGTGACATCTACACAGAGGGGGATGAGCTCTTGATATCTCTCTTTTCTCACATCCTGTGGGCCTCTTGCCTGGCTTCATTTGTCCCTACCTCCTAGCAAACTTTAGTCCCCACTGCCTAGTTTCATTTGGTCCCCACAGCCTGTGTTCTTTTGGGCCATGTCACCTGGTTTCCCTAGACACTGCTGCCTGATTTCTTTTGTTGGCACTGTCAGCTTTCCTTAAGTCCCTATCACCTGGCTTTATGGGATTGCCCTACCTGGTTTCCTTATGTCCTGTGGTGCCTGCTGTCTGGTGTTTGCTTCCCTGCCTGGCTTCCTTGGAGCCTCTCATGCTCCCTTTAGATAGAGCATCAGGGCCCCAACTACACCTGGAGCGGTAAGTGCTAAGGATGTCAACAGCATTGCCAGTTGTTCCCGGGTTGGGGCCTGGCCAGCACAGCTTGGATTCCATTCTGCCTGGACAGGACAGCGACACAGCGTCCTTTCTTGTGATGGATGGGGGGTGCAGGGCTACAGGGTCCAAAGACCTTTAGGATTCTCGTCCTCAGTGGTTAGTTAGAGGAGCACTGGCTTGGCCAATGCTGTCCCCATCTCTCTTTGGGCCTGACAGTGATCACAGGGCCTTGGCAGGGGCTGGGGGTCAAGGTCTGGGCCACATCTCCTTCTCCTTACCTTGCCTCTTGCAGCCAGGCCTGACAGGCAGGTGCACTCTAGATAGTTGTGGGCACAGAGAAGTTTTGAAGAGGTTCTGGATCACACAGCAGGTGGGTAGGCTAAGAGCTGCTGCTGATTCTCATCTTGGAGAAGAGGAGTTGCTGAGGGGAGGCAGGAGGGGCCTGGGGAGTGGGCTGGTTTGGGGGGTTTTCTGGCTCCTGCTATTACCAGTGCCACCATCTCTTCACCCAGGGGCTTCTCACCACCAACACCCACCCCCCAGTCTGGCCTGGATCTCTGTCTGCTTATTCCCAAATGCTGGGAAAGCAGGGTCAGGGGAGGAAGGAGCCATCTAGGAAATTATCCTATTTACTTGCTTTTTAGGGGCCGAGAAATTTCGTTCTTCCCTTTTCCTTCCTTCCTTAAGCCACCCTGAGCTTTAGCCTCCACCCCCCAAGTGCAGCTTGGGCCATCTGAGGTCCCAGTATGGAATGACTGTTGTGAGTGTGTATCTGGAGCCGGATGTGGGAGCGCAAGAGGCTGAGGGTGACTGGGGGACTCTGTGTTTCTGAAGGTGCAATGGTATCTGTGTGGAAGACAAACTGCTCTGAGTGTGTGATGGCATCCATATGTGAGCCCGTGACTATTGTGAGTGAGCATATGTGAGAGTCTGTGTGTGTGACTGTGACTGCAGTACATGTGTGTGCACAGTGTGTGTGAAGCTGCGGCAGTGGGTGTCCACGTGGGAGGCCAAGATGTGCGGTCACGGTGGTGAACTCTGAGTGCCAGTGTCTGTGAGAGGCCACCGGCCTGTGTCTATGAAGCTCTTGCTGTGTGTGTGTGTGTGTGTGTGTGTGTGTGTGTGTGTGTGTAGGTGGGGAGGGCTTTGGAGAGTGCTGCCAGGTGGTAGTGAG